CCGCGGGTCGGAGCGCTGGCATGGGCGGGGGTGGTGACGGGAGCGGGGGCGGGCTCTACAGTGGATCTCGCGGCGCCATGGTCGCGTCCTTTTCCCACCTGCACCACGCGACGCCGGCCGGCCGGCCTCGCGACGGCTGGTGATATAGGGCGCACGCGCTCTCGGAGACTATTCTCTTTCGACACTCTGGCGTACATTGTGACGAAGAAGGCGCGAAATGGTGATCTATTCGTTTTTATGCACCGGTTGACGTCGTAGGTGTTCTGCGGGATATTCATTTATTGGAATTGATTTAAGGAGAAACACGATATATCATGAAATTGTTTACACAAACAAGGGTTTTCGAATAAGCATGTACAGATTTTATAAATGTACTTGACAAGTGATATACCTAAATAATTTAACACACTTGGTTTCTAGCTGGTCAGTTGGATTGAAAGCAAAATGATTACATAATTGTAGGCACGTCACACAAATTGTGATGATTTTAAAATAAATAACAGTTAAATTTGTAATATGCTTTAAAAAAAGGAAGCCAATATTAGGAGTTTTTCATCATACAAAAAACGACAGAGTACTAATTTTGTTCATGTAACTCACGGAGTTAACCTTATATGAATCAGCTTTTTTTTTGAAACTCGGAAAATTCTAAAACGCAGTTTTGTAGCTTATTTTCATTTTTGTACAAAACCAGCTTGCTGTGGTAATAACATCGCAACACCCTGGCAAAGAGTAAACCGATGAAGGGAAATAAAATGCATAATGAATTTAGAGCCTTGTAAAAATGCGAGAAATTGAATATTAAAGAGTTTCTAGAATTGTTTGTTTGAGCATGATGCTGTTAATCGATCTAGGCACAGTCCGTTTAGGACGACTTAATTATTTAAATGCTTTGTATCATAATATACGTACTACGATTCTTGTTAATCTCTAGGTAATATTGCATTCCTTTTTTGTTATTTATGATTACTTGCGATCAGAAGTCTTAGTTCAGAAAAAAACGAAGTGTTAAATTGCATATAATACTATTTTATTGATGGTTTTGCTCGTTTCGATTTTGCTTGTCGGTGTATTCAAATTGTTTGAATATTATCTGCTTTAAAGTATCATCCAGTTCATTTTTTGAATCCGTGATTCAACCAACCAAAACACAGGTTTCGGGGATTCGTTCTTGGCCCTCAATGATTCGGATCCTGATGTTCCGGAACCACTCATTAAGTTCTCGTTCAGCAACAGACGAACATGTTGTCAAACTACTGCCAGAAACATTTTCTTCATAAACGTTTCATTCCGAGGTTGTGATACAGTGCAAAGTGAACCATGGTTATCCAGTGTTGCAAGTTGACAGGTAATGTGTACTAAAAACTTAAAATTGTGCAAAGCAATCCGTAAAAGATAAACTTAATAAAGTTCCAGACTGAATTCTGCTTTTTTTCAACACTTCAAGCTACGAGAACCCTCTCCGTTGGCGGCTGATATGAAGCCAATATTGCACATCTAATGGCGTTTCCGCCAGGAAGGGAAGACATAAAACAAAAATGTATTGGAATGGACTGTTCGATGGTTGTTGGACATACTTATGGTAGCAATTAAAACTTTGTTACTACTCAAACAAGTTATTATGGGAGCATGTTGAAATGAAGCAGTAGTCAACTAAGTTGATAAGAGTTTGGTATGTGTGCTCATTGTTTCTAATTTCATTGTGTTTTGATTTTGAGGTTAATATTGTTTTATGAATTTATTGAATGTAATATTTTCAAAATGTGTGAAGATAAGACAAAACATTCTGACCAAATGAAGCAACAATTAATTGGAACAGAGGCATTGACAAAGCTAAAATATTAAATCTCTATTCAATAAATATTTATCAGAATGGAAACCTGAAGGGGGAGTTCGTGCATTTCAACTCAGAATAGTCCTATATCAGTTATTATGGGGAAAATGTGAAAATATTCAAGTACAGCTTGTAAGTATAGTATGTAGCTATTATTTGAAGACAAACTGATTGGTTTGAGGTGTCATTCTTTGAACACTTTAGAAAAGGCATTAGATTTGGTTGAAACTAATACAAATGCAAGTAAATCATTTGTATCAGATAAGGATAAAGGAAAATCATCATTAACTGTTGAGAGTAAACATGTAAAGATTATAGTATAGTTACACAAAACAGAGTTGATTACATTCTCAGGTGAATTTTTCCAATGAGAGAACTTCAAAGTAGGGTTTCAAACTGTAGTTTTTAAAAACAATTCTATAAACAATGTAGAAAGATTCTTGCTTAAAGGGAATATTGGAGGTAATGCAGCAGAACTTCTTGCTCCATTACTTCTTATGCAAAAATTTTGACATAGCTTAGAGTATGCTTACTTCTAGATTTGAGAACAAAGCCCTGACTACAATTTAAAGAGTAAGTTCATTTAAATAAACTGGAACGTTCATCAGATTCCTTATTGAGGGAACTTTTAGATACTTTTAAGATTGATACTAATATGCTAAAAGCATTGAGGCGGTCTATTAAACAATGTGATGTATTCTCTGTGTATTTTTCTTCAGAATTAGATACTCAAACAACATATGAATGAATAAAGGAGAAAAAGTCTGATTCATTACCCACTTAGAAGTAACTAATTGAATGATTTAGGCATTATTTTAATATTTTGGAAAATATTCAACATTGTAATCAAACTTCTATCTACAAAATATATAAAGCTAAAAACTTGTTAGCCAAGGAAGTATCTTATAATTAGCAGTCCTTAATGACAATAACTAAAACTGTTCCTTGTGTATTGTGCTTCATTAATTATTTTCTTGTTCTTTCTTAGAAATAAAACAGTTGTAGAAACGTGTTATCATTTGAAAGCAATTAATGCTTGTTATAATTGTCTTAAAACATAGCATACCATCAAAGATTGCAAAATATGTCACAAATGCATAGTATATAACGTCATTCTTGTGTAATATTATAGAACTGTGTCTTAGTCAGTACATTGCTTTATTCTTACATAAATGATTATAGATCTGTGTCTCAATCAAACAAGGCACCAAGCCCCGAAGTAACAGATCCATTTAGCTCCAAAAATATACTTACTCAGTTGACACATGCGAGTTTAAATAATCAATATAGTTTTTTATTATCTTCTGTGATAATAAAAATAGCTGACAAACATGGCACTTTGCATCAGGCTCATTGCTTATTGGATATGATATCACAGTCAAATACGATGTCTAGTTCAGCTAAGCGTTTGAATTTGAAGCAACATCAAGTAATGTAACCATTAGCCAGGCTGTATTAAGCTGTATAAGCGTTTGAATTTGAAGCAACATCAAAGTAATGTAACTATTAGCCAGGCTGTATTTAGTGTGGTTGCAGAAATTTCTTATAGGATAAATAATAAATTAATATTATGAACGTTATCGTTTTTAGTATTGTCTAATTTTTTTACAGATAATATTCTAGTAGTTGAAATGATGACTTCTCATTTTAAAATTTTGCAAGATCTGGAGTTTGTTGACCCCACCTACCGTATTCCCAGGCAAGTAGATTTATTTTTAAGTGGAGAGGTCTTTTAAATTTGAAAGACTGAGACTGCAGACTTAGGTTCACATAAACCAATTTTACGTAATACATCATTTGGTTGGATTTGCACAAGAACAATGCCATATTTAAGTGATTAGAAGCATTAGCAATTTCACAATTGGGGGATCGAATTACCGATGAATATTGTTGAAATTTCAGAAAATTGAAACTATTCCTTTTTATGTAAGTTTTGCAGAAAGTCGAGAAGAAATTGTGAGAAACTGCTTAACGAGACGGTTACAAGAGGTTCTATTGGTAGATTTACAGTAAAACTTTTTAAAACCGACCCCCTTGAACTCAGTGTTTCAAAAACCGGGGTGAAAGGTAACCTGTATTAGCAACTTAAAAATATAGAAGTGTGCAAAACAACCTGCAAATATATTTTAAGCAAAATACACTTACTAAATCAAATTTTCAGACTCCAATTCGCTTTTTTTAACACTACAAGCTACGAAAACACTCCCTCAGAGGCGGCTGATGTTAAGTCAAAATTTCAAATGGGGCTAAGTAGATTAGAATAAGGAATTCGAAAAAGTGAAGTATTTGAAGTGTAGTTTGTTACCACTGTAGTCTCCTACGGTACGACTTCCGTCGAAAGTGTATTTTTGATGGTAGATATGTAGGTGGGTCGAATTCAGCCACTGTCTGGAGAAGAATTCTAGAGCCCGGCTTATCTGATCGAGAGTCATATGTGATTGCTCCCATCATCCAGGGGGATCTTGGAGCAATATAATAAAATGTAATGATTCTGGGGCGTGTCAACTACTTATGTAATTAGTCCCGTAAGTGTGTAGTATGTGTTATATCGTGCGGGATGGCGGCGGTCTTTCCCCATTGGCTGCCGAGATCCAGCGCCGACCTACCCGCTTGCGACTGGTCTCCCGATATGTGTGACAATGTAGTACACAAGTGTGTGTGTGTGTGTATGTGTATGTGTATGTGTATGTGTATGTGTATGTGTATGTGTGTGAGTGTGTGTGAGTGTGTGTGAGTGTGTGTGAGTGTGTGTGAGTGTGTGTGAGTGTGTGTGTGTGTGTGTGTGTGTGTGTGTGTGAGAGAGAGAGAGAGAGGGAGAGAGGGAGAGAGGGAGGTGTAGATAGAACCAGGAAGAGGAATGTCAGTGCCCCGTTTGTTAGCATACTGCTCGGACAATTGCTTGGTGTTGTGATCGGAGAAACCACGAAAAACGGCTGATGAGAGTAATTCTAGCAGCTGTCCGCTAGAAATTTCCGCCAGACAGCGACTGAACTCGACCCAACTATCCAGCGGAGCAATATATTAACAAATAAATAAGCCGCGAGAGATCTTTCCTTCCTCATCCGGGTTTCCTATATCCTCACTTTACACATACTTACTCTTTCATCTCCTAAATTTGTCGGGAGATCGGTGGGAGTTGACAGCTTGTTTTAGATTAACTAGCAATTGATTTTATCAGAAAAAACTAACCTCTGATTTATTGGTCCATAATAATTGGAAGTGTATATAATTAGTTTATTTGATTGTGAGTGCGTTGTAATACGTATTACATTTTATTATAAGAAGATAAGTTCATGACTGAATAACTCTTATATTTTAATTAAGCCATAGTTCTTTTATTTTAATTAAGTTTGGAAATGTCATGGAGAATTAACAGCCAACCTAGTAAATTGTGCATAGTTCAAAATAAGTTTATTAGTATTTTTCAATATTTTTTTGTTCTCTTTTTATTTGTAACCATTCTGTTATTTATAAGCAGAATAGTATTCTTTGTTGTTAGAAAATTTCTCAGATCATTTGATTTCTAAATTAAGAATTCTACGAACCTGTTATTTTTTAATTCAAAGGGAATATTTCTGAAACAGGGAATTTCTGCCATTTTTTTGGAACAATTGTCAGTAAAACGCACTGACAATTTATGACAACTTCTCACCACAGATGAATTGGCTGGTGAGGGCGGTGCAGGATCTTATTTAAAGATCCAACTTGATGAAGCAATTGTGTGCAGAATGTATCTCCATATTTAATATTGAAGTTATAGGACTGCCAAAATAGTTTCAAACTTTTTCATGTTTCTAAAATTTAAAAAAATCAACGAAAATAAGAATGAGCCTTTTTTATGAAGCTTTTTGTTTATATAAAAAACATGAAACAAAAACATTGTATCTATTATTGAGAAAGTTTCGAGAACTATGTTAAGTAGAATACTGCCCAAAAATTAAAATCCCATTTCAAATTTAAGGCGTTATCAGCTGGATCAATGGAAAATTATCATTTTTGGTGAAAATATTGTCGTCGGTTTAGCCGTAAACAAATTTTTCTGTATCAAGGCCAAACAAAATGTAGATTCTACCTATACGTTTTAGAGGATTTTACAGTAAAAATAGGAACGAAAATTAATTATCCAAGATTTCGATACCAAGGTCTCACAAAGCGAGTTTTTGTTGGAAAATGGCCTTTTTAGCACTACATATATACATAGTACTTTTTCAGGACTATGTAAGTAGTATGCGAAAAAGTAATATTTTTTAAGAAATATGAAATGGTTACTAAATTTAAGTCTAATATGTGTTGTATAAAATGTTACCTATAGACCAAGGAGGCCCGGGTTTGATTCCAGGACAATCTGATGTGAAATTTATTCCGACAAAATAAGCTTAGATGCTTCTCAGGGGCTAGTCCAACCCCTGTGAAATATCTTACACCCCACCACTGTCCTAATTTATCTCCAATTCTGGCCGCTAGGTAGCGACGTAGGAGCGCGTGTAAAGAGGCGCGTACGCAGAAATGCTACCTGGTGGTCCTCTTGACAATAGACTATCTACTCTTACGCATACCCTAACGTTAAAATCAATAATGTCGCTAATGACGAGCAGTTGATGCGACTTTAAATAAACCAAAAAATCCACAAGGCTTTGTTTAATACAACCAATTGTTATTATATTATAATCTATGGCTATTGTTATTTTTTTTTGTGAAGTGATATTTCAATTTTTTAACTTTTATTTTCAATCGTTCTCTTCATGGAAATCCAGTTGAGATTCGCATTGTCTACTTCTCAACGTAGAACTTTATACTCATTACATACTTTACACATCTACATCCATACTTTGCACCTTCAGATAATTTCCCTCTCAGCTCTTTTGGTCTTCCCTCAAGTTCTTTCATCTGTCTCCCCTCATCCATTATTCTGGAAGACTTGCTTCAATCTATCAAATAAGTATTGAAGTGTAGTTTGTTCACCACTGTAGTCTCCTACGGTTACGACTTCCGTCGCAAAGTGTATTTTTGATGGTAGATATGTAGGTGGGCAATTCAAGCCACTGTCTGGAGAAGAATTCTAGAGGCCCCGGCTTATCTGATCGAGAGTCATTATGTGATGCTCCCATGCATCCCGGGGGATCTTGGAGCAATATAAATAAAATGTAATGATTTCATGGGGCTGTGTCCAACTACTTATGTAATTAGTCCCGAAGATGTGTAGGCATGTGATTTATAATCGTGCGGGATGGCGGCGGATCCCCATTGGCTGACGAGATCCAACGCCCGACCTACCCCGCTTGCGGACTGGTCCTCCGATATTGTGTGACAATGTAGTACACAAAGTGTGTGTGTGTGTTGTGGTGTGGGCTGTGTGTGGGGGTGTGCGGGGTGTGGGTGTGTGGGTGTGTGTGGGTGTGTGGGTGTGGGTGTGTGGTGTGTGGTGTGGGTGTGTGGGTTGGTGCGTGTGTGGGTGGGGTGTGGTGTGAGAGGGTGTGGGGGGTGTGTGGGGGGTGTGTGTGGGTGTTGTGTGGTGTGTGGGGTGTGTGTGGGGTGGTGTGGTGATGTGGTGGTGTGTGTGTGTGGGTGTGTGTGTGGTGTGTGTGTGTGGAGGGATGTGTGTGGGGTGTGTGTGGGGTGTGTGTGGGGGTGTGGGTGTGTGAGGTGTGGGTGTGTTGGGTGTCGTGTGGGGTGTGGGTGGGGGTGTGGGTGTGGGTGTGGTTGGGTGTGGTGCTCGTGGGTGTGGTGTGGTGGTGTGGGTGTGTGTGTGTGTGTGGTGTGCTGTGTAAGAGGTTGTAAAGATAGAACCAGAAAGGAGGAAGATTCAGTGGCCCGTTGTTAGCATACTGCCTCGGGGACAATTGCCTGGTGTTGTGGTCGGAGAGAAACCACAAACACTGTGCATGAACGAATTCTAGCAAGCTGTCCGCTAGAAAATTTCCCGCCAGACAGGCCGACTGAACTCGACCCAACTATCCAGCGAGCAATATATTACAAATAGACAATAAGCCGCGGGGATCTTTCTCCTTCATCCGTTTCTCCGTCCTCTCACATTACACTATACTTTACTCTTTATCTTCCTAATTTGTCGGGAGATTGGTGGGGCTGACAGCTGTTTTTAGATTAACTAGCAAAATTGATTTTATGCAGAAAAAAACTAACCTCTCCGAGTTAATTGGTCCATAATATATTGTACGTGTATATAATTAGTTTATTTGAGTGTGTTTGCTAATACGCAATAGAGTTCATTATAAGAAGACAAGCTCATGACTAAATAACTCTTTATTTTAATTAAGCACGGTTTCTTTTATTTTAATTAAGTTTGGAAATGTTCACGGGAATTAACGCCCCAACCTTGTAAATTGTGCAACCGTTTGAAATTATGTGAATTTATTAGTATTTTTTCAATTTTTTGGTGTTCTTTTTATTTTGTAATCATTCTGCTATCGTATAGCAGAATAGTTATTCTTTGTTGCTTTAAAATTTCTCAGATCATGTTGATTTCTAAATTAGAATTCTAAGAACCTGTTATTTTTAATTCAAAGGCAATCTGGTCTGAAAACGGTAATTT